GTTTTCTGTTTAATTTCCCAAGACAACAGCTTTCTCTGCCTTCCCTCCAGGATCCACAATAACTGGATCAAAACAGTTTTCACATAAAACATGAGTACTATGACTTATTTTTAAATGATAATTAGCACTACAAAATCAGCTATATTCATTAAAATATTAAAAGATGATAAAGAGTGAAGATAAGCTGTTCCTCATGGATGGTGGATTGTATTAGTTAGCATTTAATTACTGAAGTTATAGTTTAAGGAGGTAAATATTTGAGCCTTTATTTGAGGAGGTGAGGTTGAATGATAACAGTTTTATTATCTATCAAATGGAGGAGTTAAAGAAAACTCACTCATGAAACAAAAAGCAGAAAATAAATAAAGAAAGAAAAAGAGCAAAGGGAGAAAGGAAGGTGTGAGGAAAGGAATGCCAATGAAGCTAAAAGAACAGAAAGAGCCCGGAGAGGTGGTTCAATGGTTAAGAACACTTGCTACTCTCCCAGAGGACCCGGGTTTGATTCCCAGCACCCATATGACAGTTGGCAACCACCTGTAAATCCAGTTCCAAGGAACCTGATGCTCTCCTCTGGTACCTGGCATGCATGAGGTACACAGACATATATATGCAAGCAAAACATCCATTCATGTAAAAGAAAGTTAAGAATGAAAATATTTAAATTTGTCTATTAAAAGAATAAGCATAATAGGTGGATTTTAAGTCAAGTAACCCAGTTTAAACAAGTGGTGGCAAGCTAGATATGTTGATACAACCCTTAATCCCATCTCTCTAGAGTCAGAGGCAGGAAAATCTTCGTGAATCTGAGGTCAGCCTGGTATTCATACAGAGTCCAGATTGGGATACATAGTTAAACTTTGTCTCAAAAACTAACTAAATAAGCAAATAAATAAAATGGTAGACAAAGATGTACCAGACAAATATAATAGGAACATAAAATCAGCAGTAGTAATATTGAATAAATTCAAAATATTAAATGGAAAAAATAAATTAAAAATATTAAATTGGTAAAGGTAATAATCCACAGAAATGTTATGGTAAAATCTATAATATGGAAAATGTTGGAAATTTAATAAAACAGATACAGAAAGGTAATGATACCTTTAACACATCTCTCTCAAGCCAGATTAGCAAAAACCAAAAAGAGGAAAATTTTCATCATTCCTTGAGAGAAGATCATTATGTACAAAAACATGGCAATGTTGTAAAATTCAAACTGTGTCATTTGCCACAGATTTCAAATATATGTGAAGGAAAACCCTTATTGGATCATTACGTATACAGCCAAAAATTATGTATTTTTAATGATAGAAATGTGGCTAAACAAATATCACACACACACACACACACAGAGAGAGAGAGAGAGACACATACTTTTTTGACAGGACAGGCTATGGTGGCTATAAGACAACCTGTGTCTCTACAAAACAACATAGTAAATTTCAATTATTTTGTGTTTAATATAGAAAAGCAAACTATAACACATGCACCACCGGTGCTCAGTATATGCATATATTCACACACAATGCATATTTAATTAATATGCTAGATATTATCTTTATTATTAAATAACCTTCCTTCAAGAAACCTAGGGGAAAATGGACTTTTGCATACATAGCGAGCTTTCATGTTTCATCTCTAGCATACAAACTGGTTTTAAATCTAACTGCAGAAAGTCAAATCCTTCCAATATAAAATATCATCACTAGCTGAATTGCCAAACAAGACAAACAAGCATATAAAGAAAGCCACAAAGGTCAATAGATCATGATGTTTCCTTCCACTTGGCAGATAGATATTGATTATCTCCTCTCTGGCAAATTTTTCTAAGCATGAGAACCTATCTGTACCTGTGACAATGATGGAGAAAATCCACAGAAGCAACAGGAAGAAGTATGTGCTTTGAGCCTCTGTCAAGTCCAGAGAGTAGTTAGATCAACACAATGTGTCAGTTAATTAAGAAAGCAACTAATTCACTTAAATAATGAGCAAGTTCCTGAACAAATATTTCTAAGGAAACATAAAGAAATGACAACTGGCCTATGGAAAGGTGTTTAGCTTCATTAATCATTAGCAAATTCTGTTTTACAGTTAGGTTAGAAGGAATAAGACCGGAAACTCTATCATATAATATACAACAACAGTTTATTTGTATGTTTGAAGGTCACTAAGAGAGTGGATTTATTTAATACATTTTATTTAAATTAGAAACTATCTTATTGTACATATCAGTTCCAGTTCCCTCCCCCTCCCATCCTCCCATGCCTCTCACTGACCCCCCCTTCCCATCCATGCCCCAGACAAGAGAATGGATTTTAAATACTTTGATCTGACAGGATGTGTGAGGAATGGAGAGGGTGAGGATGGTAAGGTGATGGTGATGAACAATGCGTATGATGTAGCACTTCCATGTTTTAGTACATATCAAAGCATCAAGCTACACAACACAAATCACGTACTTAAATAAAAATAAAAGTGATGGGTGGTGGCTCAGCAGATGAAGGGGCCAGCTGCCAAGCCCTATAATGTGAATTTAGTTTCTAGAATCCATAAGAAACTAACCCCCGCAAGTTTTGCTCTGATCATCACATATGCATGTGCATGCCTGCACACACACACACACACACACACACACACACACACACACACACCGTGACATATGTGCAGCTATAAGCAAATACACATACAATAAATGTAATCAGTTATCTAAAGTCTGATGAAACACCTGTCTGTTTAAAGTTGTCTACTACATTTTGCTTTTTATTTGGGAAATAAAATTTAAAGTATGCACCAGGTTGAATAAATATATGTAACCTTGGAAAATTTGTTCTGCCTTTCCTCCTTTTTCTCTTGTTCTACATCCCCAGAAGGATTAAACATTGGCTCTCAACCTTCTTAGTACTGTGATTCTCTAATAATACAGTTCCTCATTCCTCATGTTGTAGTGACCCCCAACCCTAAAATTACTTTGTTGCTACTTCATAACAATAATTTTGCTGCTATTAAGAGTACAAATGTAAATATCTCATATTCAGGCTATCTGATGAATGACCTAGAAAGGAGTCAGGACCCACATGTTGGCAACCACTGGATCAGAGGCTCTGTCAATGGTTCTTGATAGCAAAGAGAAGGGCTAGTGTGATAAAAATGACTTAACCTTTAAACCAACCTTGGGAACTTGTTTGCAATTTGTAACTGGAGATACAAATCGTCAATAATTTGATAGTCCCTGAGCTGCCCAAGCTTGAGAAGCAAGATTGTGGGAACTATCTGATTTTTTTTTTAATTCAAGAATGGGGGAAAGTTAGACCATTAAAAAAAAATTGAGAGACTACATAAAAAGAAACAAAGCTGCCTCCTGGCTATGTCTCACTTGCATTATTTGGATTATGTGTTGCATGTTTTCCAAGTATGCATTTGGCCTTTGAATTTCTAGTCCTTATGAAGTAAACAGTCTTGTATTCATCCTTAGCTAGAGATGTCATAGCAATCATATGAGGTATGGCTCTGAATATTTTTGTCATAGACATGAATGTTTGTGCAAGAGACTGCTCCACATTGAAGAGAATTCCACAGTTTAGAGAAATAACGTCCTGTTAGCATTCCCCTTCTAAGCAGTCCTCACTCAGAGACCTGATTCAGAAACCTGGGTCTTTTTCAATGAAACTGTCACGATGCCTTTCACCAACTCCTATTCCTTTATTATTTAGCTACTACTTGAGTGACAGAACCTCTTGTCAACTATTTGTTGGTTTTATGCAAGAAAGTCATCAAAATTGCCTCGCATGATTTCCAAGGAAGTCATTGTAGAAAAATATATTTCTTATTAAGGGATGGGATATAGTTCAGAGGCAGAGCACTTACCTATCACACACAAAGCCCTGGGTGGGTTCAAACCCTAGTAACACACACACACACACACACACACACACACGCACATGCACATCACGTGCACACACGCACAAACCTGGGTTATATTTTTCCAAGCACAAATCTAGCCTTTGCATTTCTATCCCCGGGATCTACACATTCTTGTCTTCTCTGTCCTTAGCTAGTAAGACCATTGTGATTGATAGCACCTGTATTTCTTTATCTCAAACCAAGGCAAATATTTTTAAGTGCAAAGGTCATACTATAAAACATCTCCACAGGTATAGCCTTGCAAAAGAGATTATTTAATGAGTCTGGCCAGGTGATTTCATTCAGCACATAGACTGATATAATTAATTTTATTGGGCTTCATGAGATCCAAGTTTCACACTTAATGAAAATCAATGGCAGAAGATATTCTGAGAATTAGGACTCTAGCTGCCTGCAGACCTGGTTGTCTTGACATGTTCATGAGAGTCATCGAGATAATTTCAAGCATCTGAAATTCTGCAGCAGAGCAGTGCTGTCACCCCTGTCCTCTCCTACAGTTCTATAAACCTGCTGCCCTAACCAACTTGCATGGTGGCCAAAGAGACTGAGGAAATGCTGTAGAGAGAAAGCACATTTTATGTGAGTGCTCTGCTCTACAGAGTAACAGACCCCAATGAGTGACTCTCACAAAATACAGAGATGAAGAAGCCAAGACCCTAGAGCTCACATCCTTGTAGTTGACAGTACAGTCTAAAAATAATTCAAAGTGCCCAAGTCCAACACATCTTCGTGCAATTACCTTTCACAAAATGGTTTTATCTATCTAGATTTTAAGCTCAATTAGTCTCTGAAAAGATCTTACTTTTCCTTACTATTTGTTGATGATAAAATTATGCCAACCATTCAATAGCAATAAATGATTACCCCTGCTTAACATTCTATTTGTGACTTCTTAAATGGTAGTATTTGAATCTTAAACTTGTGCTTTTATCTTTATTTATTTTTGTCTAAAAAAGGTAACAATAGAAAATTAAACTTGAGAGAAAGTGATAAATATCTTGACACAACACTATTTTTTTCTATATTTAGTTTTTCAGTGTTGATAAGCAGCCAAGAAATGATACCATTTTTCCTTTCAGCTGTTTACCTCTGCAAGAGAACAATGCAAAACAAGGCAAGGCTAGAGCTAGCAGATTACGAAGCCGTAAGTACCGAGGATGCTCATACGCTGGTATAAAATGAGCAGAAATCATGCCTTTAGCCATGTGTGGGTACTCTTTCCTTTCTGCATCTGTGAAAGAACCAGGCTTCCTTGGATCTGACAGTCCAGTGCCTTAATGACCCCTTCTTTGTCTGCTTTCTCTTTCCCCTCACATTAAGGACAATAGAATTCTAAACAATACAAACTCAAAGAATAAAGAGAAGCACATCTTTTTCTTCTAGAGTAACTTAATTGTAAAGATTTCAGATAAATACTGTATTGATAATGTCCAAACTCTGAGGATGGAAACCTGTTTACACTGGGGACTGATTTAACAGAGCTGTCAGATTGATCACCACCATCAGATCAAGGCAGTCTAATGTACCTTGTTCTAATGATTGCTGTGTTGTGATAACTAATTCAGATCACTATGCAGAAACAGATACAGGGATGCCAATGACTGATGGCTCTTCTCAGGACCTGAACAAACCAATTGGATCAGTGGTGGGAAGGCATTGCTTTCCTATCTCCATAGAGCTAGCCCAGAAAGATCCAGTGCATTTGCCTTCAGTACCAACAAAGTAGCATTCAGTGCTTTACACTGTGTGTCCTGTAAGGTGATTGACAGTGGTTGGTGCCTGGGATTGTAGCCTGGTAGGTAAAGTGCTTGTCTAACATGCACAAAGCTCTGTTTTCTATCCTCAGCATTACATACTAAGCATGTTGAGATAGATATGAGAGGATGAGAAGTTCAAAGCCATCTTCATCTACTTGGTGAGCTTGAGGTCAGGAAGCACAGTTGATTCAGATTCAGAGCTGTGTAATACTTAAGAAAAGCAGAAAGAAACCCTAGAATATCCTCAGCTATTCCATGTTTTTTGTTTGTTTTTTGGGTTTTTGTTTTGTTTTATTTTTTTCAGGAGAGCCTAGCCAGGCTACAGAGAGCATTTGCCCGGAAGTGGGAGTTCATTTTCATGCAAGCAGAAGCACAAGCAAAGTGAGTCCTTGTGAGTCTGCGGGGAGATATGCTCAGGTGTGGTCTCCTGTGCAGAGATGGCACACTTAAGCCTGCTAACACTTCATTGTTACCACATTGACAGAGTGGACAAGAAGAGAGACAAAATCGAAAGGAAGATTCTCGACAGTCAAGAGAGAGCATTCTGGGACGTCCACAGGCCTGTGGTGAGTAAGCTCAGGGGCTTGTTTCCATGACTGCATGGCTCAGGTTTGGAAGAGAAAAAGTGCCCTGGAGCAGACCGTGGTCCCCACATAGTAGGTCCTAGTGTCTGGGTGAATTAAATTGCTGCCTCTGTATAAGATGAGAGTTAATGCAATGTAGATTTATAAAGGGGCACGTTTTCCCCTGATGTGGCTAGCCAGCTCTCTCTATGGATATCCCAGGTGTCTGATGCTGTTGTCAGCACTTGAAGGGGAAAAACACACTGCTAACAGAACAGTATTTGTTATACTTACTGTTTACTTTTTTGGGCTTTATAAAGTTAGAATCAAAATGTTATTGCTTGCCTTTATTTTTTTCTTCATAACTTATTAATGCCTATTGTGTCTTTTAAAAATAATCATATCATCAAATTTGAATCAATTCATACTTCCTAAATGTTTATTTTTTACATTTATTTATTTTGTGTATGAGGGATAAGGTACATGTGGAGGTATGAGGAAAACTCACCCTGGGAGTCTGTCCTCTTCCTGTGGACTCCTGTGACTGAATTTGCATATCAAGTTTGATGATGAAGGCCTTTATGCCCTGAGCTACCTTACTAGTCCATCAATTCATACTTGTAATAATGCAACTTTGAATCTATATAAGAACTTAGCTCTTCTCTCTAATATTGTCAAACTAGGTGCCTCACTGTAACACATACGGAGTGTCTCTAATACCAGAAAACTTGTAGAAGGTGTTTACCATGTTCATAAGCCTTCACAAGATGGCATATCTACTGTGCATATAATCCACTCAGGAGGCTGATTCAGGAGGATTGAATTTAAGGCCAGCTTAGATACAAAGCAAGGCCCCATCTCTTAGGAAACAACCCAGTGCTAGAGAAATGGCTCAGTGGTTATGATCCTGTATTGCTGTCTTCCAGAGGACCTGGGTTCAGCTACCCATGGTGAGTACCTACCTACACTACTTACAACTCCAGCCCCAGAGGATCCAACACTCTCTTCTGGCCTCTACAGAAACCTGCTTTCACAAGTTCATGTGTGCACACATGCACACAGACACACACACAATTAACATGACAAGTTAATAATGAAAGTCAGCAAAAAGATTACATGTCTAGCCTCATTTTGTTTTGAAATTGTATCTTTCTGTTTTGTAAATTTCTTTAAATACAGACAGGTCAGGAAAGAATATTTATATAGGCATTACTAGAGGAAATAATAGGTTCACAGCAAGAGAAAAAAATCACAATGAATGACATAGATACCTTAAGGTTTTTCCTCTCAACTGCCTTCTGAATTAGACAAAAATAGAAGGCATCTAGAAATGTAGTTACAGGTATGTGTATTCAATTCAGACAGCAATGCAGTTGTGGAGTTTTGTTGTGAATTTGTTGTCATTTGAGTTCTCAAGAGAGAAGAATTGAGTTACCTGGCTTTTCTATTCAAAATACAGTTGGAGTTTTATTACTTATGGTGAAGAAGGAATTATGATCATGCTCATAACTATCATGAGGCTATGGAACAGAATCTCCATTCCCTTAAAGCAGCTTGCAGACATTAGCGATACCTTACTGCATTAGTTGCTTTCCAACACTATGCCCAAATTTCCATACAGCAGCTAAGGGAGGTTTCAAAGGGTTCAGTCTATCATGTTGAAGAAGATATCAGAGAAGCAGATTATTCACTTCATGGTGGGCCAGGAAACACACACATGGAAGGAAGTGGCCAGGGATAATACTCCTTTAAGGCTTTCTCTTGGTCACCTATCTACCTTCAGCTGCACTCCATCTCCTACAGCTTCCACAACATCCCCAAACAACATCCACCTGTTGGGAACAAAACATTGAAATCATGAGGCTGCAGAAGGTGTTAATTCCAATACCCTTGCATAGTGCAACATAATTTCTTGTTTGATTATGCTCTCCAATTTACTCTTTTTTTTTATGTCACCCTGAAGCCATTGGCTCCATGCCTCGAATTGAGACAATAGGCAAATCTTTGTTATCTATTTTCTAAGTAAGAATAGACTTGGATTGTCCTTGTGCTTTGGTGAGTGGTATTCACCTATAACATCCCTACCTTTAATTATTTACTGTCCTATGTTATAGCTCTATAAATAACTTGTAGGCATGTCCAAACTTTAGAGCTAGCAATACCATAATGTTGTCATCTACAAAGTTCATGGTTGAGGATCATGTTATCACATTATAAATTATACAATGTTTTAAGTAAGTTTCTGATATTGTTGTTTGGACATGCTTTTGTTTTTAACCAGACTTGTAGCTTTCCTTGGCTGTATGTGGCCTAACTGAGAGATAATATCTGTTGCATTTCAAATTTTTAAACATTTTTGAATGGTCCCAAACTTACAAATGATAATCCTTGTCTGACAGCCATGCCTGCCACTGAGTAGGTATTTCTGAATACCCAATTGAAGGATAACTCAGAAAGATAATGAGAGCAGGGGCCCTGGCCTCAGAGAGCTTTTATTTTGTGACTCCTTGGCCAGTGCCTAAACTATATCTCTATTAGCTGACTGCACCACTAACTAAGAAAGAATAGAGTTCTTCTTTTTCCTTTCTTTTTATGATTGTTTTGTCTGTGTACCATGTGTTTGACTGGCACCAAGGAGGTCAGCAGTTCTAGATGGTTTGAGTCACCATGGAGGTCCTAGGAATAAAATCCACGTCCTCTGGAAGAGCAGCCAATGCTCATAACTGCTGAACCATCCATCCATCCCTTTCCTAAGATAACCATCTCTCTAAATAAAATGGAACAGGGAATAGAAAGGAGTCCTAGAATGAATAAAAAGATTGGCAGGGATGGTGAGTAGAAAGAGGAGAAGAGAGGGAATGGTCCTGGGGGCTATTTTGGTTAGGGTGTCTAACATAAACAAGAGAGCTATGATCCTCAATGCTTATGTTCTACCAGATGGATAGACAATGATCAAACCACTGCTATAGAGTTGTTACACCTACATAAGTACTATGAGCTATGAGATATTTGTGTTCTTTCACTGTTTGTTTCCCTATGTACTTTCTGTATCACTTCACAGTGGAAGCTAGACAGTATTTACTGTCCACTTGCCAAATGAAACGTAAGCTGCCTCTACATGTCAGTTCCATTACTTGTTCACCCCCCCACCCTGCATTGTATAAATGAGGCACTTGCACCTCTAAATGTAGGTCTTCAACCAAGGAATGTCTAGTAAATACATTGCCTGCCTCCAAAGTATCCCATATCTGCTGCTTATGACAGGGCATGAAGAGGCAACTTGTCTATTGGAATATATATTTGACATTAGCCCTGGGATATAGGAGTCTATCTTTCCATATTAACTCGGCATTAATTAGAACAGACATGCCAGTCATTTCCAGGGATGATACACAGGTGTGGCCCTTCTTGGAAATCACTGAACCTTCCTCTCCCTTTCTGTGCTATTTTATTAAGAGGGATGGCAGTGGGCATTCACAATTACAAAACACAGGGGGGAAAAGTCATATTTGAAAACAGTGAATAAATTACATAGAAAGGCACTTTTAGACTTCTATCTTCTTGAGTCTTGCTGTCTACCTATCCATCTTTCCTTTGGAAAGAATGAATACATGTAGCTCGGATGGCATGGAACTTTTTATATTGATCATATTGGCCTCAAACTCAAAGAAATCCATCCATCTATGTTGCCAACACACTGCTGAGATTAAAGATATGTGTCACCTTCCCCAGCCTTATTATAACTTTTTAAAAAGCTAGCTGAAACACCATGACACAGAGTCTAAATGTAGTTCTCTCTGTAGAGTGCTGGCCTAGCATGGAAGAAGCCTTGAGCTGAATCTCAGAACTGAAAACCCATGCCTGGCAGCACAACCATCCCAGGATTCAGGAGGTAGAAGCAAAGGAATATAAAGTTCAAGGTCATCCCTCCTACACAGTGGGCTCTAGAGATTGACCTAGGCTGCATGAGAGTCTGTTTCAAATCTAAAAATTTTTAAAAATCAAAATAGGAAGGAAGGAAAAGAAAGTCCATGATACTTGGTTTTAAAAGCATAAAGATAGTGGATATTTCTATTATACTAAAAGGTCCTATACATATTACTTCATGGTAGTAAGACATAATCTAGTACCTAATATGTTTAAGCAATAGAATTTTATTTTCCTGGAATTATTTACATTTATAATAATAACTTTATTTTCAATAACTGGAAGTGGAGTTATCTGAACAATGTTGTTTGTTGATGTTTTAATAAAAATATATTTAGTGTTGATCCTTAAAAAGCTTCTTTTTTTTCCAGTAGAGAGGTTTTGTTGCTTCGGTTATACCTGCCTGATCCTGTTTTGATCGGGTTCCATTTATTTAATCAGGAGTAGAATGAACAAAGAGCATCCACAGCTCAGCATCTCACAGGCTTATAGCTGGCTTAATGTGATGTTATGATAGTTTGTGAATTAAAACCTAGCAATGTATGAAATACATCTAATAGAATTTTAATGTGATTTTTTAAAACCATGGGGTCATCCTTAAGTCAGATTAAAAGAGAATAATCTGTCTCTTATATTTAATATCCTTATAAAATAAAGTTAGCTCCTCTAAATGTGTCAGTGTTTACCCTGAAAAAACTAAATTGAGGTCTAATCAAGGATTCTCAGAAACAGCTTAAGGACACAGTGGGAGAAACAGACTAGATTTTATTATGTTGAAGATAGTGTGGAATTTGGTATTCTTTTGTGTTGTTAATGTTGCAAGGAGCTTTATTTTACTTATTTATGCAGTGGTGCTTTACCCTAAGGTCTTGCCATGCTAGGTAAGACCTTATTGCTGAGCTACATGCCCAGCCCATCCAATCCCCAATGTGTTGAAAACCAGAATTGATAAGTTAGCAGCTAGTAAAGTCAAAGATTTAAAATGTGAAGGAAATCCATTTTGTAGTTTTCTGCAACATTGTGGAGACCATGCTTTGAAAAGGGTGTGAGTGATTTGGATTTAAGGTGGGTGGCTG